AATTTAATAATTCTTTGCAGGAAAAAATGAAAGATGTTGACAAGCTGAGAGAAAAGCTGCGCAGTCAGGATGACGAACTGATTCAGCTTAGATCAGACGTTCGATCTCATGCCCAGAAAGAAAAAGAAATTATGGTGCAGTCTGAAAGACATGAAAAAAGTCTTATTATGGAGATCAATGAAGAGTGTAAAAAGACCACCAACGTGACAGGCGGCACACCTAGAAAGGTTCCTGTGACTTCGTAAGTTGAAATATATAATCAATACTGTTTTTCTCAGAAGGTTGTACGTGAAACTGGTCAGATTTTAAATTGTAGTCAGGAACCTGCCAGGTGTTGTTAGATTACAGTATAAATATTGTAATCCATACGTATCACTATGTAAAATGATATTAGTAGTGCGTGTCAGTCGTCAATATATTTGTATATGATTGGCAGTGTGTGAAAGACACCACTGGTTTTAACTCTCATTGAATACAATAGTGTGGATATTTACTCGGTTTCAAATTATCTGTACTTTATTAAAATTGAGTTAATTTCACAAGAGGGAAAACATAAAAAAATTATTTCATTTTGAGTTACATTTTGAGGTTCATTATGATCAACCATAAAATGGCTGCTGAATCTTGATAATTTATAATTGAATTCTAATTTAATTTCACATTACCACATGGATTTCATTTTAAACATCTCGTTGATTTTTTTTGTCTATTTTATTTTATATCATTAATTTAACTATACATCCATTACATTTTGACGATCACAAGTTCTGCCACTTTTCAATTCCAATAGCCACTGCCAAATTATGTCCAGCGTTATTACCAAAGAAATTATAGGCATTTATGAAAGTGTGCAAAATTTCCCCCAAAATTCAAATGCGTATGGCATAATGACAGCGCTTTAATATATTTTTTGTCTAGCAGCAGTAAATCTGATCGGCCTCCATCGGTTAATGGTTCACCAACTAAGAGTCCAAAGCTTGGACGTAGTCCCATGAAACCACAAGTGAGCCAGGCTATGAGTAATCTTAAAAGCACAAATGAAGAATTACGACTACACCTGCAGGATATGCGACGTGAATTGGAGAAAGAAAAGAAGAATAGTGCAAAAGTTAGAAAAGAGAAGGTAGGTGCCGATTGGTTGAACAGTGTCATGTGATCTCAAAACAAATTCTAATTGGCTCTTTATGTGAAACATTGATAGAACTGTGTCCTGATAATTCAGATTTGTATATCAGTATGTAACATACCCTTCTATATTTTTACAACTATGGTATCATCTATTTTTTTATTGTGAATGAGGCTACACTGCAATAAATAATGTAATTAAGTGTGCAAATGTTTGCTGCTATTATTATATAAAGCTAAACTTGTAAGTTAATATTGTAGTATGCATGTTGTACTGTCTCTGTTGGAATGACTTTAAAGGCGAGAAACATTGCAGTCATTCTGAATTCTGTGAAGAGATGATCCTGTCTTACTTTTAACAATTTGAATTTAACACTACTCATCGATATCCCCTATTTGAAATCAAAAATATCTACCATGTTCAGACTTGTGTTCTGTGATATTATAATGCAGTTCAATTTTTGTTTGACTTTTATCTGTTTTCAAACCTTCTTGGCACATGGAATAAGTAACTAAGTAAGAAAAATTACTTTCAGAAGTTGTTTTGAAATTATTGAAATTTTGCCGGTTTTCACCAAAAAAGAAGCTGCATTTTTTTTTAATATTTGGAGCCAGATTTGTGTCCAAAATTAAAAATTTTAAAAAAAATACACTACAATGTTGCACCAAATTTTTTGATGGAAAAAATTACTTCAGTCCAAGATGAATACAAGAAAGTTAAAATAAATCTCAGAGATGAAAACATTTTAGCACACTGGACTGGACAACAGAGCTTTAAGTCACTTAACAATGGATTTAAGATTATCTATATTCTGTTGTCTTTGTGCAATAAAATATTTCTGTGCTGCTCTGCGTTGTAAAGACGATGTATATGTTATGCTAGGTGCATAAGAACAAAGCAAAATGTCTAGTTTGATAATGCTGCAGTTGTCACATCGCGTCTGGTTTGACATGTGTTTCATACGACATATAAAACGCATTTAAAACTTGACATCTACTGATGGCAACTGTGGTCATACATCATACACTGCTCCACCCTCTTAAACTATTTCTGTAATACAAAAGTTAAGCTCTCTTTTTTCATCTTTTCTTCTTCGCACATCTTATCTTTCCATTCCACCACAGGAGGCCGACTTGAAACGTCTCCGTGTGCAGCTTGACCGAGGCAAAAATGGTGAAATGGAGGCGCTGCGAGATAGGCTTGTTAAAGTGAGCATTTTTAAAATAACTACTTGTTTATAAATGTGCATTTGTTTGTTTGTTTGTTGCATAGTATTAAAGTGCCTGTGAAATGCCTGCTATTTTTTGTCCAAAATCATTTATTGGAACATCAATATTATTTTCTAGGTTTTATGTACAAAATATATTTTTAATGTGAAAAAATAGGTTTCAAATTCAACACCAATTTTATTTTGATGTATTTTAAAACAAGGCTTCTCATTAGCTTCTCATTTGCATACCCAAATACCCCTTGTGACGTATGCACGGGAACTTGCTGGCCAGAGTGCATTGTCTGTGACTAAATTGATACTCATGTACTTGTTCTTCAACGAAGTGTAGACACATATTATGAACACATATTTTCATGTTTATCATATGTGGTTGAGTTTCATACAAAATATGTCCCTTCTAGCACAGCTGGTCTCTGCAATCAGTGGCATACTACACAATCACAGTCACTTGTAGGGTAGTCAATGAAATCGGTTGAAGTGCCGACATCTATTGCCATGGAACTCTCCATGATCTCTATGTCTATGTCATTGATTTTACGTCTACTGATGTCACACCTTTGGATCATTTGTAAACACACAAATTCTCACACTTTTACGATATACATTGCTGCATCTGCCAGCAACACAATGTTTCAAAAAAAAAGCATCGATCCAAACATATAAATCGTTAATAGTATCGTTAAATGACGCAGTATTATAAAGTACATGTATAGCGCAAGAGTATGGCCTCCTCTCGTATTTTGGCGATTCGTGACGCACTTTTACATTGACTACGTTGAGTCGGAAAGCCAGAACAGTTCTTTGTTTCAGGATAGGTGGGCATAGCAACAACACAATAAATATAACAATCCACATGGGTATTTCACAGGCACTTTAAGTAATTCCTGTTTTCTATAATTTAGTGAAATTGTGTTTATTGTTTGGTGGTGGTTGTGGTAGTCGTTTCCTATAAACAAATGTAAATGCTGAAAGAATAGATTGAATGTTTACTTTTTTTTCAATTTTAAAATATTATAAATGTGATCAAGTTTATTTTCTTCTATTTCACTATAAGTACGGATGTTTAATATATGGAAATGGTATTATTTCTTCATTTTTTTGTTAATTTTTTACTTTTATCATTGAATTATTCAGATGAAATTTTTTTAGTTATTGATCCAAGAATATAATATTCTGAGCTTTAAGCTGCTATAAAACTTTTTTTTTTAGAAAGAGTACAGATGGTATATACATTGTAGATCAAAGAAAAATTACTTAATTGGATATTGTAATTAAAGATAATTGTAAAACTTATTTACAGGAACATCTTGAAGAGTTAAATAAACTACAGAAAGCGGTTGGCAAAGATGATTCAACGCTACATCGTGAAATTATGAGTAAAGACAACGAGTTAAAAGAAATTGCACGTAATATGAACCACTGGAAAGAGGAAACAGCTCAGAAAATGGCAAGAAAATTTGAAGAAGAACTCAACAAAGAAGTCAATAGGTAAAAATATCTTATTTTTCCTTTATTTTTCCATTATGTGATGTAATATTTTGTGTTGTATGTCCATTATTGAAACGAAATAAAAATATTGTTTAAATAAAATAAAAAAAAAAAAAAAAAAATATCTTCATCCTCCACAAGGTTTCTTTTTTGTACTTTGTACATAATTAATGGTCTGTGTTTGTAAATTCCCTGGAGTTCAGTTCGAATATCTAATCATTTCCACCACTTTATTTCGCATCATTTATCTGATTTTATGTCATTTTTGCTTTATACTCCAATGATGACTGACATAGTCTGACTCGTATTGTCCATTTTTGATAACAAAACTCAATGATTATCAATGCATTATTAGAAGTTGTTTTCTTGAAATTCATATTACATTTTTCCTGATATCATTTCTAAAGTTTCATTGGAGTCTTGAAACTAATCAAAATATTTTATTATTAAAATTTGTACAAATTAGATGTTAAGTACATTCTGTATTTGCTCTATTAAAAGCACATTTTTACTTGAAGAACATAAATCAGTTTGGCTGTATACTAAATTATTGAGATATGTATTTATTATGACCACAGTAAAATGTGTTATTTTACGTAAGGGTAAGTGCTGCTAATGGAGTGAATACAGTATGTACTTAACATCTGATTTGCAATGGTTTTCAGGACAGGAAAGTTGGTTGCTTGTTTGAATTTCATTTTCCAGTGTTTTCAGATAATGTTTTAACAATTCGTGCCATCAAATATTTCCTGTTATTTGCACATATTCACATACTAGCCCTGAGATCTTGATAAAGCTTTATGAATGATCTCAATTCACAGTGACTATTACATTATTAGCAGCAATTTAATATTTCTTTTGTTTTGTTTTCCACTAAGGCGAATGAAAGAGTCATCTCGTAAAATGGAAACTATGTTCAAATCTCAACTATCTGATCAACAGAGACAAATAGAAAAACTTGAAAGAGATTTGCGACGTGCTAGGGCTGTAAGTATCCTTGTGTTCTTTTCTTAATGACACTTCTCTATGACTTTTACTCTATTTTATAAATATTATAGATATCATGTCATAAAAATGATAAAACAATACAACTATAAAAGACTTGTTTACTTTAGACAAACCTGTTTTAATTGTCACCAACTTTATATAAAAGTTCACCTTCCCATATTGACCACTTCTTTTTTTGTTGCTACAGGATCAAAGTTCAGCAAGTTTTAGCAGTTCAGCTTCACAAAACAGTGAGACAAGCACTATCAGATTATTGCGTCACCTACAGGAAAGAGTTAAACATCTCAGGGAAGAAAATATGGCTCTACGTCGTAGTGGTTATAGTATGAGTGGACAGAGTGATAGTGGTACCATGGAAGATTTGACACCACTCGCTTCTTCTGGTATGGAAATGGTACGTATCCTAATGGAAGAGTACTGTATACGATTTTTGATATTACACAATTATGTTATTTTCATGTGATGTCATAAAGTTAATTATTCATCGTATTTGACTAATGATGTTACTATCATTGCGTAAAAAGTGATTAGTGAATTATTCATGGAAACGTTTAGATAAACTAGAACAATGAGTTGAGTTGTATTTATAACTGTTATGACATTGAAATATTTTTGCAAAGGCTTTGCAGTAAACTTGTTTTTCATAGCCTGAACAGTGTTTATGTTTACCTCAGTTTTATTTTAATACAATTTTGTAATTGTGACAAATGCTATTTATAACACATGTAATTTAGTTACACATATGTCAGTAAAGTTGACTGGACTCATAGCCTTGGTTGGCAGCTAGTCTAGGAGAAAAAAAACTCTTCAGGCAAAGGCTACTAAGGCTCTTGTCCGATAACAGTGGTTTGCGACAGGAAGGGCATCCGACAGTAAAAACCCCATGGCAAACAAAATATGATGTAGAGATATTATCCGCATCGGCAACCCCAGCAACTGGGAATAAAGGCCCTAAGAGTCCCATGAATTAACTCTGTAATCCCCATACAGTAATATCATGTTTATCTAAAATAATTAGGTCTATATCCTAAATATTATTTTTACACACATCACCTATTCTCAAAATATGAAATGATTCTAAATACTTTTGTAAAAACTGTACTGAGTTACAAAAATGTATTTAATTTTTTGTCATATGAACTATATAAACACAATGACATTCAAATAAATCATCAATAAATCATTTTGCCCTGTCCTGTTTCAATTACACAAAATGAATCTTCAATAGAAGACAAAATTAGTTGTTTTGGTGAAAGATTTACCCGTATTTGGTAATGTCAAAGTATTTGAGGCTGACAAGATTAAGGTTTATTTGCCACTGTAGACACTCTGATGTCGAAAGTGTCATGCTGATATGTTAATACTTTTTTAATGCAACACTTTGTGCATTTTTGTTCATTTTTAGTAATTTAGAACCAAAATAAACATTTTAGTTTCTGTTTGTACAAATTCTGAAAATAGGGACTTATTAATTGACTTCTGGGCACCTTTATCTTGGATATGCCTAAACCGATAATGTTAGAACTTCACACACATACACGTTCTTGCGTTTCAGGTTCCAGTTCAAGATAGCAGAATGGTGGCCATATCACTGTTAAAAATGCATCAAAATTATTTCACTCTTGATCCTAGTTTTGCATAAACAGATATATCGATACTTGGTACATACATGTACATTGAGCATAATATGGAATCTGTATGGAATATGTATGGAATTTGGTTTTTCAGATCAGTTTCAAAATGGCCGACTGACAGACATTTTGTATTGATGAATTCTATTCCAGTGTCATACCTACTGTGTAAATGCATTTACTTCTAATAGACGGAATGAAATAATTCTCTTACAACTTTGTTTTATTTTTTCAGAGTGAAGATGGTAGCACTACGTCTCAGTTGGAACATAGAGTGAAGTCATTGGAAAGACAACTAAGAGAAGCACAGGAGAAGTCAAGAAAAAATAGTTCTCTGCTGAATCATAAAATTACTGAAATAACCAAACTACAAAGTGCTTTGACGCACCAAACAAAGGTCAGTTTTGTCAAAATTGTTCAGTTACTGATAATAACTTATCCTGATTAATTGAATTTAATATTTATTACTAAAATAACACAGTTTGCTTTGATTGTTCATTACAGTCATAATCAGCTCTAGGTGCGGGGTTGATACATTTAACCGGTGTCTATACACACACCTTGTTTTGCTGGCAAGACCTGCCAAAAAAATAGACAAAATAATAATCAGTCATCATGCAAATGGAGTTGTTGTTTCTGTGAATATGCATGATACATGTATTCTTTAGAGGGTATAAACTGCATATGAGGGTATTTTGTAGTAGATATAAGTTTACTTTAGAAAAAATTATAACATATTTGTTTTAGAAGTACGGTACAAATATATACCTGTATTTATATCTATTTTTTAGTTCAGACCAATTTATGAAATATGACAGGCCCTGGGAGTGGCAATGAGAGACAAATCTATGATTATTAATATTTGATTCAGTCAAATTATAATATCTTTTGTTTATTTGATATGTGGTAGTTCAAACTGTATTTAAATTGTTTATATTATTAAAATATTTACATACAAGAATTTGTTTGTTTCCTAAAACTATTCAGTGTTAAAGATCTCCAAATGTTTGATGGTTTCATTATTTAATCTATTTATCTTTTCTGTTATTGTTTTTTCTTAGGAAGTAATGAAATTGGAAAGGGCCTATGCCAAAGTTCAATCTGAACTATCGTCGGCTTCTATGCGGTAGCAACATTTCAAGACATGATACCGAGGCAGTATTACTCGTCATTTTAACCTGACTTTACCCATGTGGACAGTCAAATGGTTTAACTGTTACTTCATGCCTCATGGGAACATTCCAAGTTAACTAAAAAATAGGGGTGGCAAGCCTCTACCCATCAAGTACTTCTTATATTTTTTCATTTATTTTCACATTCTTTTTATCATCAGTTCATCTGAATTTTAAAATTAGCAACATTGCATGTTTACATTTGTATCAAATCCACTATGTTTTTTCTACCAGAGCATTTTTTTTTTACTTTAACAGAAAACCTTTGTGCATGTTGTGTTCGGATGTTGTGACATTGTCTCATTACAGATAACCTTTAACCATTTCCACCCTAACACTTCTCCACCTATTTTTTTTTTACTGTTTTTTTTAGCTTTGGGGTTAATTTTGGACCAAATAGACAGAATTTTCATCACTGATAAGTTTTGAAATTGCTTTTGTAAAGATTACTGAAATCGCATAATTACTGTATTAATAGCGCATGCTGAATAGATGGGCATATAAACCAAAAATCTGGTTTGTTGTATACTGAGTCATTGAAATATTACTATTTCAGCCATAAAAATACCAATTACATAAGAGCCTACATTACTAATAGAGCTATTACAGTAGTTTGTGGAATATGTAATTTATAGCGGAGGTGAAAGGGTACAGCAAGTAAAATCTTTTTATTTTCCAAAAATGCAAGTTACTAACAAAATTCAATGATCAACTAATCAAGTTCTGTTAATTGTTAATGCTGTTAATTCAGCAAATCCTTTGACCAAGTCTGTTCAGACTAGCTTGCTTCCTTTCTTTCTGTATCACACCTCTCAGGGGACACTTTTTTTTTTGTAGAGATTTAAAAAAACACATGAAATATTTGTTATTATATTACTCTTCTTTATTTTTGGTGTTAAGTGTCAAATGAATTTCTCCCTCTGGTGGTTGAATATGTGATTACTTTGTTTTTATTTAATATTCCCCATTGAATTGTCACAAAATGAGGAATTATAGTTTTGAAATCTGGTGTATTATCCAATTGCAAACAATTACTATGCAAGAGTATGACTAGCAGTTGATAGTGGTATGTGGAGTGCCTTGCAATTTCATAAGTGAATGCACAATGGTATGCAAATTTACTCATTTCTAGCAATATCTGTATTTTGCATGTTAGTAACAAAGTCTTGTTGAGCAAGCTTTGATTTGTGAATAAATAAAAAAAAAATAACAAGAATTGCAGCGATATATATTGTATTATATAACTTTTTTTTTTAGATTGTCACCCACCATATTTTAGAATATTTACACCCTACCACCCCTATACAAGGGTATGGTTTATCCAAGCGTTTGAATTCTAGTATTAAGTAGATATGGTGTTTCTGTATAAACTGTAAGAAATAATAATTGTAAATGGATTATTTGATGAGAATTTGTTGTGAATAGATGTAAGATATCTGGCCTTTAAAACTAAGAATAAAAAGGTTACCAAGATTTTAGTGAGCCTGAGGTTTGTCATTTCTTTCCTTCAATTAATAGAACACGTAATTGTATGTTGTAACATTTTGTTGTTCAAAATATCAACTTGATTGTCTTTTCACTAAGCTTAGGTCATTTTAAGTTGAATAACATTCTTGACAGATATTACATTTCTCCATACTTTTTAAGTGTGAATCCTGAAACTTGTGTAAAACATAAAGTCTAGATCCTGAGATGCACATGATGAAAATGTCCTGGTATGCACAAATTAATGGCTATGTTTTATAACCTTGCATATCATCTTACTGTACAGTGTCTTTATGTAAACTCAAGAAAAATCAAAATTTGTACATGTAATTTTTTTTCTTGACATTGTTTTTTTGTTTAGCCCTGGTGTAAGGAAACCTGTGTTATATATTCGTATATATGCATATCAAGACAGGATCTGGTGAAATTCTAAAGACATTTTTAAGTATATATTTAAAATAAATTGTATGATTTGTTTGCCTATTTGAAATCTGCTGTTGTAATTATAAATATGAAAATGCTGTATATTTTTTAATTCTTGAGAATTGTCCCAATCAAATTATAGTACCAAATGTGTTTTTCTAATGAACTTGAATTTTCCAAAGACTGTAATGATAATGTAACCTAGGTAACCAAAGTCTTTCAGGAAAAGACAATGTACTTCCTAGGAGTGGATTGACAAATTATGATTGAAATAAAAACAGAATCAGATGTTTGATTTACGAATTGTATTGTGTGTTGTTGAAGGGACGACGTCAAAAGATCAATGTCGGATAAAAAACTTAATTCCTTTAGTTCCCCCCACCCCCCACCTCTAAGCCCCACTGAAACATGGCGTTAGACTACACTCACCATAAAATACAAATTGATAATTGGACAGTAGTATGGCATAGCAGTTGGTTGTAGTAATGAAGGGAATATTCGCATGCGCAAACTACTTTTCTGGGTTCTGCACATGCTCTAGGTCCATGCCCTGAAATTGACCTCATTTGACGCACATATTTACACTCGGATCAAACCATTTTCTCGTCTTGGATGTGTGTTTTTTATGATTGGATAGAGAAAAAAAACGAACTACAAAGTCTCCAAGAGTTTTTTAACTTCATTAAAAAATAAAATCGTTTTTGTAGGATGGACACTTTTTGAGGTCAAACAAAAAGTACACTCCCTGGTGGTTTTATATCAATACTTTCTATTTTCTGTCTATAAAGCTAGTGGGTCAAAATTTTTGCAAGAAGAGAAAAAAAACTATTTGTGTTCAAAGATATACATCAACTGAAACACATATTACATTTTTATGAAAGATATGTCAAGAACAAATGCATGGAAAGATAAAAAGAATATCTTTGGTATTGATACAGATTGGATCATTTAAAATCACACTCTGAGTGCTACAAGACTCTATGAAAAGGGGAGCTTAACTCTGCATAGTTCTAATAGCTATTAGTTCTACAAAACACTGGTACAGATATAATGAATACCTGCATATTTTCAATAAGTAAAATTCTAACAAACTTGAACAACGTCCTATCTGTGAAATCAATAAATGCACCAAATGGTTGAACAAACTCTTACACTGTGTAAAAAAATGCGTATTCTATCTCTGAGATGAACACAGTCCGGAAGTACAAAATCCCCCCCCCCCCCCGTTTCTGTCAACTGTTATGAAAGTCAATCACACCTCTTCCCTTGACAAGCGAATTATGATCCTAGTCCTAATAACCAATGACTATACTTTCTGGAATAATAAAAACCAACATAGGATCAGACTGGTACCATGGTAGATTTCTGATTCGTAGATCAATGTACAAATCCTACATGGACTGAATACCAAAACGTTTGTCCGCACTCAATAGTGGTGTCAAAACTACTCCAATCACTGATTGAGAACGATTCACGAATGAATACGACTTGGGGTACCTTGGTTTTCAGATGATTGTGTTTGACATGGTCGATGCCTGACATAGTGACGCATTTAAATGTCCAGTGACATGGATGTGGTTTCTGTGATAGTAATACAAGAGTGTGACAATTGTGACATTCAATGTTAAACGGATGGAAGCTATATATTGTACGAACTGGGACGTTGTCACTTTCTGTGTATTGATCAATTTGTTTTGAGTTCAATATGTATGACATAGCTGTCAATCATCGACACGTATCGTGTGTACTAGATAAATATTGGAATATTTGGTGTGAAAATGAAATGGTGGGCAATACCAATATTTGGTGTGAAAATTAAATAGTGGGCAAATCCTATGACATAAACACATGTTTTACCACTCAATAAAATCATTGAAATGATGAACAGATGGTATTTACATACACTGATTTCAGATGCATGCCCGGAACACATTCATACATATATAATGGCAGGCTCTAATAAGTCGCGCCCTCTAGTGACGAAAGCTTCTGTGACGTCACAATTGCGTAGATCGGTATAAGCAATGTCATTCAAATAGACAACTATTCTAACACTCGTGAAAATAACTTCCATACGCAACGAAAGCCACGGGGAGGGTGTGGGGTTCTGTCATAGTATTCCAAAGCAATATTTTAATTATGAAAGATGAAGCAATAACGACGACTGCTTTGAGTTCCCCCGTTTGCGTTACAGAGACACATCGTCACTGAAGAGCGTGACATATATGAAGGATACATCCATGGCAACTGTGACCATCGTCCAATCACTACGTCATTAATAGATTTTATATTGTGTTTTAATAACACGATCGCATTGCTTCAAGATGAACAAGAATCAAAACACGAGCAGGTCATTTTTTCCACGAACATGTTATTGTTTTGATTTCAATCATGTTTGTTTCTATCATTGTGTATTGTTAGTAAAAACAATTTATTGACAATTCATTACAGCTTTCACGAAAAAAGTTGGACTACAACCGAAGACTGGAGTTCGCATCGTCATGTATCTGAAAAACAGGCGTAAAACGACAAATTTAAGTGTTCATGACTTTATTTCTTATACATGAATTCGTCTACATATCTACATATTTGAGGTACAAAGTCACATGACTTGTCAAATCAACAATAGTACAATGAATGCCAAGTTAATTAGAGCTGCTCGTTACAGTCCTATTATTGTGATATTGGTAGCTCTATCGCTTTGGATGCAGTCGAGGCGATCGTCTTGGTCTTCCTGATCGCAACAGAAACTGCATTTCGTGGCAATTGCATCAATACTGCACTCCGCTGGGTTGTGTAGTTCGCTGTTACGACATGCCTGTGAAAATAATCAGAATATGCGTTATAGTTTGTTCACCACGATTCACATTATTTCCACATTCTCTATATCGTCTGTAATCAGTAAAGCTTGAAACTAGTCAGAGCGTGTCGCCATGACCACCTGTTGATTGATATCTCTAGTTTTTGAAAACAAACAGCCAAAATGAAGTTGGATTAATCTCACATTCAATTATGGAAAAGTTGAGTATCTTCTCTAAAACGTCACTTTTACTAAACAAAATTCATAAATCTAGGCTTGGTATCTTGTATCACGTTTAATAAAACAGTTTTAAGTACCAGCATATCACCTTTGCACCTTTGTGAGAAAGTAATACCCGCACAGTATGCTTACAAGTAAAAGTGGTACAAGTACAGCAAGCTTCATTCGTCAGCTTATCATACTCCAATAAAATCTTGTCTCTTACATGAACTGAGTTTCTCAGTAACAAAATTAAAATTGGTTATTCAAATTAGTCAAAATTATTTGTTTTTACCTGTGCTTGCTTGCACCCTTTGTATATTCTGAGTTCGCCGTCTTCTAGTCTCAGGGATGATAGGCAATACGGCTGTAAATGATATGAAAAGAGAGGAACGCGTCAATTCGTTTTATTAATTAAAAATTACAATTACAATTGTTCTACAAATATAGTTAGGACAATTTAAGTTGAACATGATTGCACGACAATGCTAATTTCAACTCTGGAGTGCGACAATTGAATCTGATACAATTGCAACGTCATCCGCAAATAGAAGACAGAATAATTCAATTAAATCAGGGGATAATTGAACACCGTGGTGCTCCGAATTATTCAGCTCATTACATAATTCATTGATAAAGAAGGAGAACAGGAATGGGCTTAACCTCAGACTAGTATTACTAGTCTGAGGTCTAAATTAGTTTTTGAAACTTGTATACATAATATATATACTGTTATTGTTATTTTATGCTTAAAAATGACTTCGTGACTACACAAATTTGAATTCCAAGATTAATTTGTAAGCATATCTGTTATTGCACGTTAGGCAAAAATAAAACCAAAACAATATTAATAATGCTGTGATGTGTTAATCTCGCCACGTGTTGTTTTTGTTCTCTGATAAATAAGTTCAAACTCATCAACAATAGTTAGATTTCACTGTCAAGTTGTTTGTACCTTATTCGATGAACATATTTCAGTTTCCAAGCATTCATCGTTACTCGTAACACCGTTACAAGAATTGCACGTCGTTACTAGAACAGAGTTACGTGGTCGGCCATAAACTGCAAAAAACAAAAACAAAAAACATCATATTTAAAATATATATATATATAATTATCATGAAATAATAGTAAAATAATAACATGATCTCAATTTATCTGGATCTCTTGAATGACTTGGAGATGTAACTGACTGAATGCACCCATTTAAAATGAGGCGGGGGCAGTAAGTTTACGTCAGTGTGAGGCGAATTTGGTATATAGAAACATATATGTGACATTTGTTTTTTTAATTTGTGTTAATTTGTGTAAGTGGATTGCCATTTGGTGTCAAAGAAATCACCGTCGGTGGCACTCATGGGGTTGGTTACTCTGTGTCATGTATGAACCAAAATATCACGTGATACATTAGGCAATACAAAACGGAAAATACTTAACACTGCCGTGTAGGTGTAATATATAGGCTTCCATGTAGGCATAACTTTCGGATAACTTACACCAATTTAGAGTAATTGAACGCAACCATTTTTGAAATAATGTGTTTGTTAATTTTTTTACTAATTGATCATTCCTCATTGCCAACATTATTTGGTCAACATTTTTGAAACATTATGTCAGATATTGTGTTAATTAAATTTTTGATCGGAGTATGATAAGACGTTGTATTTTGAAATATGAAATATGACAAGTCGTTGTGTTTGACGATTAATGACATTTTGACTGAACCAGACCTCCCACAAAGACCGAGAACGTGATTGTTGTAATTGAGGAGCGTAGTCACAGTGACATTGCTTATCACTGACTTAGGTCTGACATCGTGGGTTCGGGCCTGCAATATTGATAGCATTTGATATATTACATTACATTACACCGTATTACAGCAATTCACAGATTATATAATATAATATTGCCATATATATAATGAGTATAAGTGTTAAACACCATAGACTTACCGACAAGCCAGCCTACAATAAAATAAAACAGGGCGGCCGTATGCATTGTACTGTCCAGTCTTCGAAAACAGAATGAAGGACACGTTGCCAATGATCGTGACGGAGAAATGACGCTCACCAAATTAAAACTTGCGATTTATACTATTGGTGAACATACTGACCGAGGGAACCGACAGATGTTGACAAGTATCTCTCAATCCCTCGAGTACGCATTTTTTGGAACCAAGTCAATACACCTCCCACTCTTGGTAAATTTGCAAAAATGTGGGGCACATGAAGTATTATTTACGCCAACCAGATGTCGGTTAACATCAAATTTGGCGCTGTTGTAT